ATATTTTTTTCGTCGTTGCTTTGCCGTGCCGAATGGCAGGGGCAAAACCAAATCGAGCATGCGACTTGGGGTGTGAGGCATAGGACCATCAACATTTCTTGATGCTCCATGAAAAACTGCACATTCATCATTTTGCGATAAAAAGAGGAGATATGCTGATGTTGTTATAGTTGCCCATAGCCTTTCCATTGCTAGCTGGTCTGCAGATATTTTTTTTATTTCATATCTATGCTTTGTTCGTATTTTTTTCATCCCATACATATAATGTATAATAAATACATTTTTATTTTTTTTTTTTGTTACTTTATATGACAACCCTCTGCTGGTACGTGAGAGATATCTATTTAGGTATCGTTGCTGCGCTGAAGTCTGTCGCAATGTCTATGATTGTTATATATTTTGTTTCAATTTTTATCTTTTTCTTCGTTACTGTTGTTATTGTTGTTGTTGGACAAGCGTTGAATGTGCCAATGTGGCAAATCTGCTTATGAGGATACACCGCATAAGAATGCACGCGCCAATTTAGCCGCTGATAGCTTCTAGAAGTGGAGTTAGGGACTAGACTTGCTAACTGCTTTGTCCGCTTATAATTCTCTACATTTTCACGTAATTTCTATTTATGCCTTATTTAATGTGTGACAATTTAAGCACCAAAAAGAATGCTGTTTTCTTCACTGCGAATAAGAATTTATTGGTGATCGAATGGTTTTAATACTATTAGCCTATTTTCTATGGGACCGAATAAAAACTGGCAAATTTTGGTCCATTTACAAGTTTTTTTTCGCAAAAGGTGGAAAGCCAAAATTGAACAATTTAATACAAATTTTTAAAAACTAATAACTGCTTGCAAGATAAGCGTCTGCGCACTTTAAACTAAAATAATCGATTAATTAATCATATGATTAATCACAACCCCAAAAAAAATCAATAGCAATTAGTTGCAATTATTGGGAAATAATAATCGATTAATCGAATTTATAAAGGCACTTTTTTACAGTGAGTATTCACAAAAACACTTTTCTTTTTTTCCTTTTTTTTTTAATAATTTATTTTTAAGCAATAGGCCGTATGGCGGTGATAATTATTTATTATTTAAGCAATTTTGCAAAAACAAAAGCTTTTGAAAAAAGCGCTCAGCAGGCACCGTGGTACTAACTAAATGACAGTATTTTTTCAAAAGTCCGTAAAGTTTTGGGTAAATAGTTTTCATTTCCTCCCAAACGTCGATGACTTGATAATTTAAATAAAAACTCATTTCATATTGTGGGGTACCCAAATCATCATCTTTTTGCCTTCTTTTGTTTACAAAAGTTTTATGAGAGGTCCGAATATCGAACTCATTTTCTACTGATTATAGTGACGGCTCACTACCTGATTCCAAAAGATCATCGCCGCACATTATTTCATTTCACAAGAACTTCATTACTGAGGCCAAGTCTAACGGATCTTTGAAATGAATTTTTTAGAACCTCGGGTCGAGTTAAGTTGATGCAGTTAACAAAAAAGAATGTTCGATGGATGGATTTTAGACAACTACAGAATTCATATTTCTTGAAAATATTTTTACGATTATTTTACAATTAATCGATTAATAAAACACAAAATTCCTATACAATTAAATCGACAATTGGCAAAAATTATCGATTAATTTAATCAAATGATTAATCGCCGCCATCCCTACCTCTAGCTAGCAAAGTATTTACATTATTTTTCTATACAGAGCGCTGCCGCACCTTTATAACGGCTTTTTTGTTTTCAGCAACTTTTCGTGTGATATCACACCTCTGGATTTTTTTTTATGGGAATTCAAAAGTCTTCGTCGATAAGTCAGCTATGACTCAAAACTTAGAAGCCAACGTTACTCGCGTAATTTGCGTAACGTTGGAAAACGTAAATGAAAATTGGGCCTTCCGAATGGACCGTCTACAGCGTAGTCACGGCCCTTTCCAGCTTTTCCTAGGTATGCCTTTTAGAATTGCTTCACTTAAGAAGGCTTACCTTAAATATTTTCTGGTGCCGAATATATTTATGTATGTATATATGAATGCTCACAGCAAAATGGAATAATCTATTTCTGCGAACACAATCATTTTGCGTCATTGGGAATGCAATCGTAACACTTCTACCACGCGAAAACAAAGAAGTATATACTCTGTTCCACAAGTGTTTTCAAGTTTAATCTCATGCGATGAAATGTCCACATAAAAAAATCTATCTGCGATAAGCATTTTGATTGCGATGAACATCAACAGTTTTTTGCCTCTCCTGAACATTTGGAATTTCTCGAATTGTGACTGTTTTTGATACATTTGTTGATAGATATACCGGGTCAAAAATCGTAGCGGTAGAAATTCAACCCGTTTAAATATTTTGAGCGTTATTTACTTTTGTACATAATGATGCCAACCTTCTTAACTTACTAACTTTCTGGATAATTGGCCGATGCCACTGCACATGGAATGGAAGGTATGAATGTATGTATTCAAAAACATTAGGCCTGTGCGATTAATTGTTTATTCAAAATTAATCATAAGTAAATAACTCAATTATTCGATGAATTGAAAATTATGATTACCCAAAAGTTTAGTTACTCGAGTATTTAAGATTTTGGTTAACCAAAAACTAAGAATTTTGATTTTATAATTACTCGACACTTTAAGTAAAATGAGTAATAAAATTTTCAAAGTACTCTTTACGTACATACATACATAGATACAAACATACATATCGTCGTTTAAAGTACAAAACCGCGTAACTGACATTTTTTGCCAAAAATTGGATTGGCTCACACAAGCTCTGGGCTCAAGCCTTATCCATTCGTCCTGAAATATAAAAAGTTAATTTTTAGTGTAACCATATGCATTTTAAGAAACTCGATTAGTCATCATTTCATGAGTAACCAAAATCTTTACTACTCGAGTGAGGTCGAGTAATCGAATAATCGTACGGCCCTTATGTACATACATACATACATATATGTGCATCCGTGTATAACCAAAATAAAAATTGTATGAGACAATACACAATTGTATGTACCGTTTTAGCAATGAATTTTTGTCACTTTATTGACATTGGCTCGGACCTAGGCAACCTACTTCACAATTCGATCCAAAATAATTCGGTACATCATTCAAGTTTTGCTTTTTAAATCCAGATGTTACAATTTGTGGTGAAAAATAGAAAGGCGAAAGGTTCGAAGTCGAGGCGGTACAGTACTTTCTTGGCACTTCCACAACTAAATAAATCTCCAAAAATACGCTTACAATGCTGCATTGATTGTTATTTGGTAGTTTGTTAATTTCAAGCACGTTTAGGCGCAGTTTTCCATGTTTCTAGGTTGATTGGTGGATTTTTTTGTTTCAAAATTCTTAAAGTACAATAAAAATAAAACTTAAAGTTGGCTGTTATGTATGTACCTTCATATGTAATAGAATAATTTTGGGAATTTCCGTGGTACTTATGTATGTATGCAATTTTTTTGGCACATGGTATAACTATGATAAGATTTTCGAATTGGCACTACAAAAGAAAAGTCTTATCTCGCTACGTGTTAATTGATGCGTCTATAGAAAACATTTATAATTTATCTGCAGGTTTATCAGCACATCGTCATGCTTGAATGAAGTATTTTAGTCACTTAATTGCTGGGCGAAATTCAACTAAGGTGTTTCTAAAGTTGTTAAAAAATTTAAGGTGAGATAAGCTATCGAATGAAATGCCTACATAAATATGTATGTACATATGTATGAATATTCAAGTTGTCACACGACTGATAAAAAATTATTATCGCAGCCATATTACACCTTTCTATGACTTAATAGCCATTAAATTAATATAATAAACTTACAGTGTGTATGCAAATAGCGATTTGATTTGAAAAACAAACAGCTACCTTAGATTTATCGTAAATATCTAAAGATGGATTTTCTTTCCTAATCGACTACTTGTCCAGACTACTAGCTTTAATACTGATGGTTGTAAATGCGCAGGATATTTTATAGTCGTAATTTTATAGTGTAGACACTTTCCATTCCATTTCCTTTCAGAAGCTTTCGTTATATGCAAGAATAAAAATTACAAAGAAATGCTTCTTACAGAGCTTTGCTAGAGCTTTTTGGGAATTTAGCACGCTTTTATAGCAAAAAAAAAAATTAGTAGTGAACTTAGAAATTGCAAGAATGCCCATTGAAGTTATTGACTAAGCTTTCTATTTCCTTTTATTTTTGCCTATTTATATCCTGTTTGTTTTTGCCATTAATCAAAATATCAATTTGAAAATAATTACTTAGTAGCATTTATTTATTTATCTAGCGCACGTTCACTGACGTGGAAACTACTAAAACACAATTAATAAAAGCAAATGAACTAGCAAATGTACATGTTTAATGTGGGTTGCAATGGATTCTAGAAATTATTTTTCATGCAAACAAATTTTACATAAATACATATGAAATACATACATACATATATGTAGTCTAATAAGCAAACGCGATTCGACAGTAATTCGTCTGGGGCTATGTAGATATTTCCTCGCAGAACTAGTAGATATGTTCATATGTAGGTACATACATATGCATGCCTGAGATAGAGGCTATACTTACTGGGAAATACATTGCCATTATTAAATACAATGTATGTATGTATGTATATCGTTACCATAATACATATAAAAAGGCCCTATATCATTTTATTTCGAAATTTAAGGTCGTACAAAAGTCGGCAGTTTACTCGCTAATGATTTAGCAGAATTTAAAAACAACTAGTACATCAAAAGTTATGTATTTATTAAAAACTATTTTTTAAAACATTCGCAACTATAATTTTTATAAAGTTTCATGAAACGAAACTTTTACGATATGGTCTATATTAAGGTAACGATATGAACATACGCTTCATCAAAACGAATCCGCGGCAATGGCTCAATTGATATTTAGTATATGTATGTGTACCTGAACAATTAATACCATTACCACATCAGAAATACAATAAAAGAATACAGATTTAGTGAAAATACTATATGTATAGTGCTATATTATTTTTAAAATTAATATCATTGCATGCGATGCCATTCATATAAATAGATAAGGATAAATACGTACATTTAACTCAAAAGAAAATTTATACATGTAAACTAACGCATTTATTCCTTGTCTTGAAAGGGATCTTTTTGTATATACTTAGTGAGATTTTGGTCTCCCTTCTCCTCAACTTGCGACAGCTCAGAGAATCCTTCCTCATCCACAAAGCATATTTCATGACCATCTGGATCAGCTAAGATTATGACACGCACTGTCGCTTTGCCCGGAGTGTCCAGTGTAATTAATGGCGTCAAAATGGTGCCGTTCGCTTCCTTAATAATCGCATCAATAGTTGGTTGCACATTTAATGGCACTGCAAACGCAATACGTCCATAAGCTTTTGCGCGATTAAGGGGTTCAGTGAGTTGCTTCAAACGCAAAGCTGCTTGATTTTGGCCATATGAGAGTGTAATTATGTCGGAGCTCTCGTCAACGATATTCATTTTCAACAATTCATTCCAGTAATGTTTTGATCTAGCCAAATCGCTGGAATGCAATGTGACATTGAGCACAGGATCGGCATCTTGTGGTTGTGGCTCTTCAATAATAAAGAATTTATAACCATCGGGTGAAGTGAGTACATGCTGCCCCTCCTCCTCGGAAACTGGGTAGTTTTCCGACCTGGCACGCTCAAGTACTTCTTTTGATTTGATAGTAATGCCACCGAAGTCGTTACCTACATAAATTACAAACAAAATATGTGTATAAGCATTCATAGATATTACGAAGTAATTTCACAAGCTTTTACAGATTTAACAAATGTACTAAATGTTTTACATAAATATATTTCTATTATATTATAGATAACCAGGTATATTTACCTAATTCGTAGCTTTTTACACCATAGTTGTAGGTAAGTTCAATTACGAAATGTGTTGATTCAGGGCCATATCCAATCATAGTCTTGCTCCAACGGTTATCATAAGGTCTAAATAAAGCAAATATTTTTACTATTACACAAGTGAAAGTTAAAGGCATAAGTCGAATACGTTACCCATTGCATTGAGCTTCACAGCCTTCCTTGAACTCTTCGTGGCGAAGCACCTTTAAAGTCAAAGAAAAACGTTAAATTATTGCAAAAATAAAATGCTGACTAATGGAGTTGTAAAAGTTTACATGACAAAGTTTCTTGATCGAGGATGTATCAAGGGTGTAATGGAGCACGCCTTCTAAAGCTTAGGTGTGTGTGACTAAAAGTTAACTTTAAATACACATACATATACATACCTTCATGCCAAGTATATCCCGGAAAAAGAAGGCATTTTTGCCACGATTTCCAATTTTCAGCACATAATGCAGTGCACGACCTGGAATCTCAACATTTGCCATATTGGTTTGACGAGAATATGTCCGACTAATAGTTACAATGCGCGTTTGATATTCTTCGGTTAAGATGTGACGCCTAAAGTGAAATGCCGACAATAAACTGCGCCTCAGCAGCACTTTGGATAAAATATATATTTACTTATTTATTATGTACGTGTCAACGTATAAAAGAAAAACCAGCGAAGTATTTACACACTTGTTAACTTGATTGCGGCAAGTTCAATTAAAAACCAGTTTAGCAAGTGAATGAATAATCGCTTCGCGTGAAAACAAATATGCACTTCACCAGAGCAACGTTCTAAATCAGTTCTGGTAAGAATTCTATACAGTCACTTTGATTTTATTAATTTTTTGAACTTATCTATTTACAATCCGGCGTATCAGCTGATAAGTCAAACAAAGAGCGTTGCCACACCGCTGCTTTTTTTTCAATTTAATGGAGGGTACTTTTCAATGAATAAACAGCTGTGAACAGAAAAATAGCATAGCACATATTGTTCAAAATGTGTATACATAAAAAATTTGTTATATTTGATATTAGGAGCAGGCACCATACCGGTTATGATCTTTACAACACAAACCATAATTTAAACGTTAAAATTGGAAATATATTTCTGCAATCAATTGTATCAATTATCGGAACCCAACAAGTATCTGTTAGTTTGAGGCTGGTAAAAATAATGAAGATGGCGCGTCACAGCTAACGTTTCCAGCTTGAAAGAGCAAAGACAAACGAATTCAATGACATGCTTCTCTTTCCTCCGACTACAGGACTTCTCAGGCAAGCCTCTTCAAAATATGCACAAGAAGTCTTTTATACCCTTGACAAAATAAAAGGGGCTGAAAGGTGTTCTGCGCAGCAGTACCCCATGACCGATGAGCGTTATTTTTGGACCGAGCGAAATAGTACTAGTTATACGGTTAAAGGCACAATCAACGATTTCTGCTCCTATTTTGAAGAAAATCGCCCGAGGAGCCCTGTATTCGGCAGAGAAAGGAAGCATGCCATTGAAATCTTTGGTCTTTCTTTTCGAGAATTTCCCATTACTTTATGATTTTTATTTTCGATAAAGAGTAATGGCTTTTTTTGAGTTTCTAGCCCACTTCATAAAAGAAGAAGGTTCTTAATTTATCGGAACATTTTATTTTATTTTTTGATACATGTTACCGGATAACTTTGTACCACGGAAACGGTTTTCGTTGAACGGAATTGTGGCAACTCAAGGGTGGTCCTATACTTATTTGGTTTAGTTCCGATCATTGTGTCAGCAACTGTGTCAAGAAGAAATTAACGGTACTCCTAAATTTAAAAAAACATGAAAGTCGATTGTATATTTTGCCTAAAAATTACTTGATACTTTTTCGTTAAATTTTTTACCGTAACTTGTATTTTAATTTTTCCCAAAATTTATAAACGCTGTTTAAGAATTAATTTGTTAAATGATAAAAATTGTAAGTCGTTCGTAAAAACGCAGTCTTTATTTCTAAGGTCAAAAAGACAGGAAAATTTAAATGCAACATAACGTTTATCTTGATAAAGAAAATAAAAATCAGAAAAAGGCGAATTAATTTCACCGAAAAAATAAAAATCCAAATTTGTTGATTATTTTTTATCAAAAATTCAATATCAAAAAAATAATTACTTTACAAAGATTCTAAAACCAAAATCTGGATATATTTTTCTTCCAACTTGAAGCAATATTTGGTTGTAATTTGCGGGAAAAGCCACATGTGATTAGCATCAACTCTCAAATAGTATAGGGCAAGAAAAATTCTTATAGAACGCTTTTTTCTGCACTAGAGTAATCGAGTGCGTTCATCAAAATTTTTGAGGTGCATAATGCACTTTTCGAGAACTTATGCAATATGTCATCTTTTTTAAGCTGTCATTGCTGCCTATTGAATACACAATACACAGTACAATATAATCAGTGGTGAACATTTAAACCAAATTTCGTAAATAAGATAGGCTTTTTAAATTTATTTATGTATATAAAAAAGGAAATTTAGTGCACCCGGAGTGCCCAGAAAACACGCTGACAAACTTTTGTCACAACACGACATAATTTTTATTGGGGATTTTATATCCCGTTCAAACTATTAGAACGCAATGATTAAAACAATTATTTCACAAACCAGCTAAAGTTCATGGGGTTTTATTGTAAATGTGTCGGTATGGCCACAAACACAAAAATAAAAACAAATGCACGTATTGTAGATACCGTTCCTCTAGATTCACCAAATAACATATTTTAGAACGTGGTAAGGTCGTATTTATTTTCCAAGCCTCATGCATATTTTTAATATATTGTGGCGAATACTGCGGCAACACAAAGCGAACAACGAGAAATAGGCA